CTTTCTTGATAGAAATATTTCCTTACCGCCCACCAGTTTTCGCGCAAGTGCTGAATATTTTTTAGAATGAGGGTGTTTTTAAAAAAATGTACGTACATTTATCTTTTTATTTCTACTTTATGCATGATTGTAATGTTTTTAGCTTTATAAAGTTTAATGAGAAAACAATAAAGTAAATTGAAATTACCTTTACTAGTGATTAATGATTAATGAGATCTTTGAGGTTGATGCTGCGAGACTAAATATTTGATATCTGGTTCGATTTTCAAAAAGAACAAACGAAGGTCTCCTCTTTCGGTGATATTCAGACGATTTCTCTGTTTGCACATAATATGATTTCTCATCTGTGCGTCAGCTTCCCTCCTCTCCCTCCTCAATTCCCCTCCCCACCTTTTTTTTCTATTTTTTTAACCTTCCTTATAGCAATGCCCAGTAGGAAGGCTGAGCTAGGTAGCCCACTTACTATTATTAGCCAACAACAATTCTCTCCTTTTCCTTTTTTAATTTTTAATTTTCCTTCTTTCTCCTTTTTTACAAGTACTCCACTCCCTGCTATCATGTATCCCCCTACATACTCCAACTTCTCCCCTTTTTCTACCCGCGTGTTACACGTTCACGAGCACACGCATTCGTACGTGCATACGCCCGTGCAATATAGGCGCACATGCGCGTTCAGGCACACACACTCGTGCTTTCATGCACTCGCATCTGCAACCTCGCACTTCCTGCTTACCACTGAGTGCACGAGAGATGAATAAAGTGTTCATCTCTCTAGATGGAGGGAGGATTCTGCTACCGCCCACGTGGAATCCCAAAACGCCCACTGGTGGGAGGTAGGGACCAGGCAACCCATGGTTTAGACATTAATGGCTGTTTGTTGAGTTATTTTGAGCGGACAGCAAATCTACACTGTTATACAGGCTGTAAACTTACTACTTTACATTGTAGCAGAGTGTCATTTCTTCAGTGTCACATGAAAAGATGTAATAAAATATTTACAAAAATGTGAGGGGTGTACTCACTTTAGTGAGATACTGTGTGTAAGGAAATAGAATCATTAAAGGAGCACTATAGGGTCAGGGACACAAACATGTATTCCTGACCCTATAGGGTTAAAACCACCATCTAGGGGGGTGTGGCCAACAGAGCACCAACACAGACGTCGTCTCCCTGAGTTCCGACCGGGCCTAGGGGAAACCTGAGACATAAAGCCACAAAGAGAGGATATTTGCACCAAAAAACAACAGAGGCTCCCTGTCAGCCAGATATTCGGCTCTCCTTTGAGAGACCGCGGCCGCAACAGGCTAAAATGGTGCCGGAACCGTCAGAGGCCTCACTGGAGGAGGAAGATCCTCTTACCTTTCCACACTCTGGGGCTACAACCCCCACCTGTGAATCGTGCGAGGACGAAGCCCCCTCCACAAAAGGGGACATCAGGAGGCTCCTGGTGGACCTTCGGAGGGTCTGGAAAGGAGACCTCCAGGTGGCCCAAGCCGAGATCGGAGCAGTCCACAAAAAGGCGAGGGAACTGGAAGGGAGAGAGGCTGACAGGTCCAAACACATACAGGACACAGATAACAAACTTGAAGAGCTTTCCGACCAAGTTCAACACCTCAACAGAGTGGTGACCTCCCTAGAGATGCGCCATAGAAAGAAAAACATCAGAATCAGGGGCATCCCAGAGCAAGTAGGCTCGGAGACACTACCTACGTTTATTCAAGACATGTTTACACACATGGGAATTGTAGACACCCCTGCACTGCCTATGATAACATCCGCATTCAGAGTGAGGAAGTCAGCAGCGGCGCCAAGTGGCGCACCCAGAGATATAATCGCGGTGACGAGAGATATAGCAGCGAGATCAGTGCTTATGGGGGATGGGGACGATACAATATAAGGGGCACACTGTTGCTATATATGCAGACATCCTGTTCTCAGTCCTGGTAGAGAAGAGAAAGCTGGCTCCGATTGCTAGCTGCTTGAGGGAAAACTCCATAAAATACCACTGGGGAATAGAGGGGTCCCTCTTGGTAGAGAATGGAGGAGAGACCATTAAGCTGACGTCAGCAGAAGATCCAGAACCATTCCTGCAAACACTGGGATTGTCCGTCAACCCGCAAGGAATTTCTCCAGAGGCAAACAATATAGTCAGGGACCGGGAATCCAGGAACAACAATGTGACCACACAACCATTAAAGACAATACCCAAGAAAGTGCTCACACCATTAAGACGCCGGGAAACCGACCTTGGCGCTTTGGGAACACTGACCAGACCAGACCACATCAAACGGCTCACATGACACAAGTTGGTTCCGCGGGTGCTCTGGAGACCTAACTGTCACGAACGCACCCTACTCCAAGAGTGTGCGTGACGTTATTGTGGTGGTGAAAGGGTTAAAGTTCACTATTTGTCTGCACTAGACTGGAAATAATGACAAAATCCCCCTTTTAACACCACCCACACTTAAACATAATAATATACCTATTACTATTTTAACGCTGCCACCACCAAGACAATTTATAAATGGGGTGCCTTGGTCCCCTAGGTAAACCAATAACAAAACCCACCAAATATTACTTAGCACAATATTTAAAGAATTGCAAAAATACTAGTTAGTCTCTTCAGGTAACATGATTATTAACCAGACAAAGGCAGAACTTAAAGGACCACTATAGTGCCAGGAAAACATACTCGTTTTCCTGGCATTATAGTGCCCTGAGGGTGCCCCCACCCTCAGGGACCCCCTCCCGCCCGGCTCTGGAAAGGGGAAAGGGTTAAAAACTTACCTTTTTCCAGCGCTGGGCGGGGAGCTCTCCTCCTTCTCTCCTCCTCCATTCCTCCTCCTGGGCTGAATGCGCACGCATGGCAAGAGCTGCGCGCGCATTCAGTCGGTCGCATAGGAAAGCATTTACAATGCTTTCCTATGGACGCTGGCGTGCTCTCACTGTGAAAATCACAGTGAGAAGCACGCAAGCGCCTCTAGTGGCTGTCAATGAGACAGCCACTAGAGGATTAGGGGGAAGGCTTAACTGAAACTGCTATGTTTATAAAAAAATGGGTTAACCCTAGAAGGACCTGGCACCCAGACCACTTCATTAAGCTGAAGTGGTCTGGGTGCCTAGAGTGGTCCTTTAATAAATGAATGTTTATTATGAGCAAAAATAGTCACAGTGCATATAACAATATATGATAAACAAATTAGTTACACCAACAACAGATAAAAAACAAAAAGGATAAAATACAGAAGTCCTAATTACTCACTTAGGTTTTCAAAGTACGACTTCTGTCCAGGGGGTCTCTGGCAAGGAAAGATGGTGACTCGCTTAGAATTAGATTCTGAACCCCAAGCAAGTACACTAGCACCCTTCAGGATCATTAGAGATATACCCTGTGGATTACCACGCCTCAGCCAGAGGTGGAGTTAAGGCGTACCTACAGAAATAATAAGTGACCACCCCCTTGTGTCCCGACCCAGATCAATCCAAATGGAAACATTTGGTTCTATCTACTCTTATGTACCCGCCACAGAAATAACAATTGCCTCTATGAATGTATTATTTTCCCAATTTATACATATGTTGCACGTCAACCTTACGATCCGATAGGATGGACACCACAATTCCTTCCCCTATGGTCAAGTTAGGCCACTCATGTTTGGAGTTGGTTAGTAGATGGCGCTTGTCACTTTCGAAACATAACAAAAATGAGGCTTTATTATTATTCTGTGGGGGGGGGGGGTAAATATGAATGTTTTTGTCCTTCCTTTGGATATGATACTGGAATAAGGCTAATGGCATTTACATATCAAAGAGATTGGCTCATCTCTTACAAGGTACATGCCAAATGGATGAAGAGACATTCTGCTACCGGGTGCTAGGGAGCACTTACTTGTAGACTAGCACCCAGTAGAACATGGGTCCAGGATTCAACTCAGCGTGCAAAGTCAGGACACCCCTCCCAGCCAAGAAGTGCAATGGGGGCATCATTCACTCGCTCCCGTCCCTTGCCCTGTACGTGGGGACAAGTGGGCGGTAGAATAGCATGGGGCTTAAAAAAATGGTGACAGGAATAAAGAGCAAAGTGCAATGAAGGTAAGAGAGAACTCACAGTGTGTGTTTCATAGAATGTGTGTCAGTCTGTTTCAGTCAGTATGTTTGTGTATGTCAGTCTGCCGAGTCTGAGTGTGTGTGTGTATGTATGTGGCTGTGTGTGTCTGTGTGTGTGTATATGTATGTATGGGTTTGTTTGTCTGTGTGTGTATGTATGGGTCTGTGTGTTTCTGCATTGGTCAGTGTGTGTATGTATGGGTATTTGTGTGTATGTAAGGGTCCGTGTGTGTGAATGTATGGGTCTGTGTGTATGTATGGGTCAGTGTGTGTATGTGTGTATGTATGGGTCAGTGTGTGTGTATGTATGGGTCTGTGTGTGTGTGTATATGTATGTATGGGTTTGTCTGTGTGTGTATGTAAGGGTCTGTGTGTTTCTGCATGGTCAGTGTGTGCGGATGTATGGGTATGTGTGTGTGACTGTATGGGTCTGTGGGTCTGCATGGGTCAGTGTGTGTGTGTGTGTATGTATGGGTCTGCGTTTGTGCATATCGGTCAGTGTCTGTGTTTTTGTATGGATCAGTGTGTGTGTCTTTATGAGTCAGTGTGTGTGTGTGTTTGTGTATGGGTCTGTATGTGTGTATGGGTCTTTATGAGTCAGTGTGTGTGTGTGTGTGTGTATGTATGGGTCTGTGTCTGTATGGGTCTGTGTGTGTCTGCATGGATCAGCGTATGTCTGCATGGGTCAGCGGTGTCTGCATGGGTCAGCGTTTGTCTTAGTGTGTGCATGTGTATGTATTGGTTTATCGATTGGGTTCTGAGTGAATGGGTTAAGAGGAGCATCCGTGTGTATATGGACTCACAGGGCTTTTATCACATGGAATTCTAATGACATTGTACCTTCCCATGGATTTGTGAGAATAACTCCTGAAAATCACGTGTTATTCTTACCCAGCAGCAACAGCCAGGTAACCAACAACAGAAGCAAACATTGGATTTCATCATCTGAGCAAAATGACCTTAATCAGATCAGTAAATACTGGCTGGAAAATGTAACAGAATTTCAGAAAGCTGTGAGCCCGGTATTACAGCTGGTACCGGATTTATCACAATAATGCACTTTGCTATTAGAAGGTGAGTGAGTTCCGAAATGAATGTATTAATATTAGAGGGTTATCTTAATTGACGGGAGTTCCTCCTTATAATACCAGTACATCGTGTTCTTACTCTCGGCCCAGCCATAGGTGGGAAGAGCTGGCACATGCTCCCCATGCGGGCAGGTTGCCACATGTTAATTCATTGCTGAGTGAAGATTAGACACTAGCGATAATTACTACTAAGGAGGTCCCCTGTCTCCCTGCCCACAGTGTATTATAACTGCAGCTATAAGGTTATGGTGTAAGGAGGTCCCCTGTCTCCCTGCACACAGTGTATTATAACTGCAGCTATAAGGTTATGATGTAAGGAGGTCCCCTGTCTCCGCGCACACAGTGTATTATATCTGCAGCTATAAGGTTATGGTGTATGGAGGTCCCCTGTCTCTCTGCACATAGTGTATTATAACTGCAGCTATAAGGTTATGATGTAAGGAGGTCCCCTGTCTCCGCGCACACAGTGTATTATATCTGCAGCTATAAGGTTATGGTGTAAGGAGATTCCCTGTCTCTGCGCACACAGTGTATTATAACTGCAGCTATAAGGATATGGTGTAAGGAGGTCCCCTGTCTCTGCGCACACAGTGTATTATATCTGCAGCTATAAGGTTATGGTGTAAGGAGGTCCCCTGTCTCCCCGCACACAGTGTATTATAACTGCAGCTATAAGGTTATGGTGTAAGGAGGTCCCATATCTCCCCGCACACAGTGTATTATAACTGCAGCTATAAGGTTATGGTGTAAGGAGGTCCCCTGCCTCCCTGCACACTGTGTATTATAACTGCAGCTATAAGGTTATGGTGTAAGGAGGTCCCCTGTCTTTGTTCGCACAAAACAAATGCTACCAATGAGCCAGGGAACCGTTCATGGTTTTGTTCGGTTTGGGACTCCCGAAATTGACCAACTGCTACCCTTGAAACTATGGAACTATTTTGGGCAAGCGTCTCGTGAGTGGTTGGTCAAAAATTTCCCCCGGTGGCGTCTGATTACCCATTGGATTTACTTGTATGCTGTATTTTACCATGGAGAATGTATGAATCGGAACCCAAACTTTGAGCTATAATCATAAAGGATCTAGCAGTTCGGGAAGAAGCGAACGAACGGGTATCTGAAATACCAGCGTTCGTTACACATGCCACAGTGTTAGAGAGACTGATACAGCAAGAGCATTTACATGCAAAGTCAGCTTTACCTTAACTAATTTCATTGTCAGCCAGTGTACATACGTTTTGTTCCCCTACATCCCTCTTAAGTTTCCATATGCATGTAAAGAGTAGTAAAAAACAAACAAACATTGATTTTAAAAAATATTCAATTTTATTTTATTTTTTTAATTAATGGGCCTATTCCTTATGCAACTCCATCAGCCCCTATGTTAATCCGGTCCTGCTTGTAGTCCAGGCCAGTGGACGAACTACCAGGGTTACAACGGTCTATTTCTTGTTCATTTAATCAAGGCCCCCCTCTGGCCTGCCCCCACTCCCCTGATTAGCATACGGCAGGGTAGCGGTTGGGTAGGGATTAATTAATAAGAATTGGCATGGATTGGCAGGGGTAAGAGAATGAGCATTGCTAAAATGAAAAGCTTAGAATTCATAATGAATAAGACTGGATTAGGGACTGAGAAATCAGGTTATAAATAATGGGGGGTTAACGAATATGGCAGGGGAGTTGGGAGTGATTAATTAATTCATTATTTTGACACAGCAGCACCACAAACACAACAAAAAAATCACATACATTGCACACAATACATCCATACTGTGTGTAGATTGCCACCATATTTATACAAACAGACAAAGACACACTATAGACAAACATTCGCACAGAGACAATCACACATGAATGTACAGAGAGATGATTTCTTTATTAAACAAACAAATATTTTTGTGTGGGGGTTGTGCCTGGAAATCTATTGCCTTCAGGCTCCTGAGCTGTGTATCCAGCCCTGACAGAGATGTGTACATTATTTTAAATGTTACATGTGGTTCCTGTCGCCAAAGGCTGTGTAATATCTGCAGAGTCAGGTCTCCAAGTGCAGCTGCACGTGTGGCGCTACGTACACTACCAGGGAACATGCACACCGGTAAATAGAATTTTCAGGATGAAAATAATTGGCTAAAATGTTCCAAATTAATTTCTCAACTAAATCGTTAAATATCTACAGGAAATAAGCACTGAAAGACGAACATCATTATTTACAAAAGACAGAATTTTCCAAAATAGCCAAACACAGAGCTTAGCTTACTTAGAGATTTCTCCCAGTTGCGCTTTTTTGACTTTACTTTTGAAATTCACTTTGACTTCTTACTCAAATAATACAAATAAAAGAAAATGTATAAAAAAAAGGAAAAGTCACAAAATAGAAATAACTCCAATTAAATGTGTCACCGACTTCAAAAAGTAAATAGGACAAATAAAAATAAAGAATAAAACTAATTGGGACCACGAGAAGGGAATGCTGACCAGTGATGCTCTCATCGTGGAGTTTCCTACTGTCAGGGTTATTCACTTCAGGGCGAATTCAAAGCGGCCTTCAAAGTTAAGGTCAAAATAGCGAAATTGGAAACATTCTCCAAGTCAGCAATGCTTTCAGTTTGGCTGCTCTGGCCTTAAATATTAAACTCACTTTGAATTGTCACTTTGGTTAACTTACCTTGCAGGTCGGCGTTTGATAGATCGACGTACGTCTCTATAAGCAATGTCTTACAGTGTTATTCAGTAAACATTGGAAGAATAAAATCTGATGAAAAGACTGAATGCTGACTGGAATGGCAAATCTCATATTTACTAAACCCAAATACAGGAATTTAGTCAGTCCGAGATAATCTAGCGCAATTGCCTGGCTTAATTCGGCGTTCGTATTAAAATCAATGTTTTTAGAATCCAAACCCCATGCAAAGTACAACGTTTAAACCTCTCTTATAGTAAAATGGGGGTCTTATTGAACCTTTAGGCTTTTAAAAATGTATTTATCTAACTGTTTTTTAACCCTTGCAGCATCAAGGGTTATTAACTCTTTGCCTGCTGGCTGCTAGCACTAACAGCAGACAAAAAGTTGGAATTTTATTTAAAAAAAACGTTCACAGATTTGAAGTATTTGGGTCAGGGTTACAGCCATCTGGCAAACGTTACATTTTTACTGTATATTTCAAAAGCATAAAATAGGGTAATGTTTGTCACTTTTGACACATGAATTTGGCTGGTGATTTTACCAGCTAGTGTCCTGGCTACGTCCAGTTTGGCCGATGGTGCTTACAGAGAGATTTTCACATTGTGTAACGCAGTCCGTGTACTGCGCAGACTCCATGCTCCAGAGTGAATCAAGCAGTTTGAGAAGTGTCTGGCGCTGAGGGAGTTACTGATCGCAGCTGGTTTTATTCTTGGTTGGTCACCACAGCAACGGCATAGGGACATCATGTCACATCCAAGCGCTTGTGTAAGATGGACTGGGACCTTGCCGAAATCTAGCTAGAACTGGCTCATGTTTAGATTACCTTGAATTCCTGAAATGAGTAACACAGCTGGAATAAGCCACTGTGAACCGGTTATGGAAAGCTCAGTATTTCATTTACATCCACACAGAGGACTATCCAATTTATTCTGTATTTTTACCTTTAGCTGGCCAGGGTGCAAACAGACACATGAAACGCAAACGAATCTCTGTTTAAATATTCTCAGAAAACCTGGCAACGGACCGTATCACTGAAACTGTGACCACTTCCTGATTTCACTATCTGGAGGATAAACTGTGCTGTGTGCTCAGGGAATATAATCATCAATCCTTCTATGGAATAAACGTTTTACTTTTCACTGTTCCGAGGTCAGATAATAATACTGCTATAAAACAATAGTTACATTTTGTACACATAAAATATACATAAATATACACATATAAAACGTAATTATTGTTTTTATTGCCGTTTTAAATGTTCCTTTTTATAACAGAGCTCCACAGCAATAATACTCCCAGTAACAGAGCTCCACAGTAATAATACTCCCAGTAATGTGTCCGAGTGTATAACAGAGCCCCACAGCAATAATACTCCCAGTAATGTGTCCAAGTGTATAACAGAGCTCCACAGCAATAATACTCCCAGTAATGTGTCTCACTGTAAAACAGAGCTCCACAGCAATAATACTCCCAGTAATGTGTCTGAGTGTATAACAGAGCTCCACAGCAATAATACTCTCAGGAATGTGTCTGAGTGTATCACAGAGCTCCACAGCAATAATACTCCCAGTAATGTGTCTGAGTGTATAACAGAGCTCCACAGCTATAATACTCCCAGTAATGTGTCTGAGTGACGTCATCTTCCGGCTCCGGTATCAGTGCGGTGCGCTAGGGAGCTGAAGAGGGAGCACTGAGGGGAGAGTGCTCCCTCGCGCGCCTGCAGGAGCGGCCGCCCGGTGACACCAGGGCCAGCCTTGTGGGGCCCTGAGGTGGCTAGCTCCTGGGCCCCCCAGGAGAAGAGGCTGTCCATACTGGGTACATACAGGGTCGCAGGGCAGCCGGGCCTCCTGGTGGGCCAGGGCCGGTTGCAGCCACGACCCCTGCGACCCCGGTATGTACGCCACTGCCCACAACCGTCCTTTGTAACGCCTTTCTCCTCTGCTATCTATTTATACTGATTGTCTTGCATGCTGATAACCTCCCCCCCTCCCCCCCCCCATCTGTTATATGAGCGATTACCTTTTGAACTTACAATACAAATATTATTGTTTTTGTACATTTATTTGATATTTTTCTCTAAGATAGGGGTATTTATCCATTACCTACAGTTTTTTTTATACAATTTACATGTAATTCTATAAAAGGTTTCTTACCAAGGTTTGCAACATTTAGTTTCTCAACCCCCTTTGTGTTCACAACTAATTTCCCTTTGGACTGCTACATGCTGAGTCTGTATTAATTGGAACTGTAGCAGTTTTTGGGAAGTATATGTTATGCACCAATGTTAGAATTGGATACATGGTTTATTTAGTGTGTTATATGTCCCACCTAAGAGTTATTTAATATATCGACGGTAATTATTTTTCATTGTTTTAGCTGGTATTTATTATTAAAGGTATATATATTTTATAGGAACGTTTGTTTCCTCTAATTATTTGTGGAGCGCACATGCTACATATTTTTTGTTATTTTTCCTATATGCCAAGTCGCTTGCTGGCATATAGCTGCCCAAATTTATTATCTATCATAGTTACCACCCCCATGTTTAAGTAAATCATATTTTATTCCACATTAAATCAGAGTAGACTGGACAGAATCTGTTTCAAAAATTTCACAGAAAAGCTACAGCAATCAATCTGATTTGGATTGCCACTCCCTGATCCTCAGGCTGCTGTGATATAAAAATGGATGGGAAACCCTTCGTGTGTAATTAAACTGTGTCTGCATGTGTCCTGCTTGCCATCAAACAGGCTGTTCCTGGGAGACAGGTGTACACATTATTGCTTGGCTCTCTAGTGACGTTTCTGTGGCTGCTAATGAAATAATAGTAAATAGTTACCAGTGACACTAGTTGGGTATGGTTATTATTGTGCCCCATGCACACGGTTATAGCTAATTACTAATTCCTGGACTGGATTGCCGGTTTGATCACAAACTGCTGGAAGCTCTTACAGGACCAGACAAATGACAAATGTAAAAAAGTAAATAAAATACATTTTATTTAATAATAGTAACAATTATTCAAAACATGATCCTAACTAATAAAATGATCATTTGTATAGGGCAATAGATATCTGTCAACTAAATTCTGGAGTACCTCTTAAATGCAGTGAGATAAGACATACCCCCCAACATTTCACATGGACAGAGAGGGAGTCTTTCATTGTGTGGGGTGTGAGTGGGGGTTGGCCAGGGGCAGGGCTGTTTTGAGAAATTATAGGTGACTTACTAATAATGTATGCAATGTAACAATGTATCTTACTTACACCTGTAGGTTTCTTCATTGGGCTTCACACACGTTTACTGTGTTTTTTGTTAGAAAATTCAGTGGAGGATGTTTTCATCAACAATCCACGTTGTTCGTTTGGACAATCACAAGACATGGAAAAAACGTGAATGCCAAACTGGACCAATAACACCGGAACCTATAATGTCCATTTCTCCATACATCGCCCCGTTTCATTCTTATTATATATATTTGTATTTCATTTAAATACTTTATATCATTCAATTTCTTGTTATAATGTTCATATTGAGATGTTTAAGTTTAGAATATCTTGATTTTATCAGTGTCTTCCATTACATCTAATTTAACAGCCCTAACAGCCCCCCTGGGAGTTCCCTGGTTGAGCACTTATTGTAGTTAGTAGACCAGGCCTTCTAGACTGATGCTAACAGCCGTATAGCTGGATATCCTAGTCTGCAGGATAGACCAGGCCTTCTAGACTGATGCTAACAGCCGTATAGCTGGATATCCTAGTCTGCAGGACTTGAATCAATGCAGAGACAGAGAGAGTACATGTTTTTGGACAGCAAGGACTCTAAAGTCACCTTTCCCATTCATCTAATAATCTCACAGACAAAACAATCCACTGAGCCAGACAGACCTGTCCTCTCGGATACCCATCAGCATTAGGCTTTGATATTATTTGGAATAACAAATAGGAAATGGGTTTTATCAACCTGGGGGGGAGGGAACTTCGATCGCACCTGTCCATATCAGCACTTTCTGGTTTAAGGTGGGGCATTCTAATATTTTTGTGGGTACGAAGTATGGGGCGAGATTTCATTGTGTTTATTTTATCAAAAAAGTATTTTTTAAAGCAAGTAAGGTTTCTCCAAGCCGACTTAATGGAACACACCAACACCATAATCTCCACAGCCTGCTGCAGTGGTTATGGTGCCTTTAGTGTCTTGATGCTCTCTCATAGTAAACTCGAGTGGCTCCAGTCCCAGATTCTGGATTCCAATTGCAGGAAAATTTGGCTAACCCCACTGAGCATCAGCAAATCAATGTCAGCTAGGAACATGGTCTTTTTGGCTGGATAGACCCAACCAGTTTCTCCTGCAAGACATGACCAGATATGACATGGACATCTAAGGCCCCAGGTAAATTGTCAAATTGTTCTGAAATGGTTAAATAAATTACTCTTGGAGGGCGCAAAGACACTCCTGGTACTGCAGTGGTTATGGTGCTTGGAGTGTTACACAAATCAACCTAAAGTGTTGAGAGGGGAAATTCCAGGTCTCATGAATTCTCATGTTTACTATCACCTATAATTAATTCATATGCTTATGAGGAGAAATTAAAAAGTGTAGAAATCCACATTGTTGTATTTACCTCTATCCTGGAATTGAGTTCCTCCATCTTGCTGCCTTATCTGTAATTTTTTCTTAATTTATTTAATTCTTATAAAGCTTGCAATCCCACATGTAGTGTTACAATGTATACAAATATTTACAGATCCTCCCACCCCTGATCTCTCCAAAGTTTGACATTGAGCTCAATGATTGTAACTGTGTCCGTAAAGGGACACGTCACTGTTCAAATGCAAAAAGAAATAAAAAATCAATCAATCACATATAATTGATATTCCCCCAATGAAAACAGGCATGCATTTAATTAAAGGACCACTATAGTGCCAGGAAAACATACTAGTTTTCCTGGCACTATGGTGCCCTGAGGGTGCCCCCACCCTCAGGGACTCCCTCCCGCCCGGCTCTGGAAAGGGGAAAGGGGTTAAAACTTACCTTTTTCCAGCACTGGGCGGGGAGCTCTCTGCCTCCTCTCCTCCTCCTGGGCTGGCTGCGCGCGCATTCAGCCCGTCGCATAGGAAAGCATTTACAATGCTTTCCTATGGACGCTGGCGTGCTCTCACTGTGAAAATCACAGTGAGAAGCACGCAAGCGCCTCTAGTGGCTGTCAATGAGACAGCCACTAGAGGATTAGGGGAAAGGCTTAACCCATTCATAAACATAGCAGTTTCTCTGAAACTGCTATGTTTATAAAAAAATGGGTTAACCCTAGAAGGACCTGGCACCCAGACCACTTCATTAAGCTGAAGTGGACTGGGTGCCTAGAGTGGTCCTTTAAGCATTTTTTTCTTTGCTAGTTTGCAGCTCAATGAGAAGTCTTTGCAAGGCAGTGCTTTGGGCAATTGCTGCCTCTTGAGGTTAGTTTTTCTGAACTAGACAACCAGGAAGTAACAGGACCGCTTATCTGATTGACAGATGGGGGAGGGGTAACTCGGTTAATTTATAAAAGTGACAATTGAAATCTGCACTTTATGCAAAATGAAAAAAAGGACGACACACTCTTCACACATAAAATGTTTCAGACATCTTACATGCTTTAGGGGTGTGGGGTGCCCCTTTAATGGCCATCAGTCTTCCAGCTTTTACTGTGAGTCGGGTTCTAGATCCTTGCAGAGAATTCACTAAAAGAGTTTCCTCTTCCTCACCTTTACCCAAAACGGATTGTTACCGGCGGCTACTCGTATATTTATTTTACCCATTGTACAGAGCTGCAAAAATGTTGGAACACAAATAATGAATTAAATGAGTAATTTGGCTGCAAGTTCACTGTTTTGTAAATAAACGATTACATGAATATAAAGAAGGAAATATCTCAATCCAAAATCATATTATAAATGATACACAGCACATTGGAAAGAGCTGACGTAAACAGGAAAAAGACAAAAAAAGATATAGAAAAATAGATAAATAGTACAAGTACAGTAGGTATACAGTGTATGTATATTTTATTCATATAGCGCTAACAGGTGTACTCAGCACTTTACAGGTTACATTACAGTAGAGGGAGGTACAGTAAGTGCAGTAGGTATACAGTGTGTGTATATTATATTTATATAGCGCTAACAGGTGTACTCAGCACTTTACAGGTTACATTACAGTAGAGGGAGGTACAGTAAGTGCAGTAGGTATACAGTGTATGTATATTTTATTTATATAGCGCTAACAGGTGTTCTCAGCACTTTACAGGTTACATTACAGTAGAGGGAGGTACAGTAAGTGCAGTAGGTATACAGTGTATGTATATTTTATTTATATAGCACCAACAGGTGTACTCAGCACTTTACAGGTTACATTACAGTAGAGGGAGGTACAGTAAGTGCAGTAGGTATACAGTGTATGTATATTTTGTTTATATAGCGCTAACAGGTGTACTCAGCACTTTACAGGTTACATTACAGTAGAGGGAGGTACAGTAAGTGCAGTAGGTATACAGTGTATGTATATATTATATTTATATAGCGCTAACAGGTGTACTCAGCACTTTACAGGTTACATTACAGTAGAGGGAGGTACAGTAGGTGCAGTAGGTATACAGTGTATGCATATTATATTTATATAGCGCTAACAGGTGTACTCAGCACTTTACAGGTTACATTACAGTAGAGGGAGGTACATACAGTAAGTGCAGTAGGTATACAGTGTATGTATATTTTATTTATTGAGCGCTAACAGGTGTACTCAGCACTTTACAGGTTACATTACAGTAGAGGGAGGTACATACAGTAAGTGCAGTAGGTATACAGTGTATGTATATTTTATTTATTGAGCGCTAACAGGTGTACTCAGCACTTTACAGGTTACATTACAGTAGAGGGAGGTACAGTAAGTGCAGTAGGTATACAGTGTGTGTATATTATATTTATATAACGCTAACAAGTGTACTCAGCACTTTACAGGTTACATTACAGTAGAGGGAGGTACAGTAAGTGCAGTAGGTATACAGTGTATGTATATTTTATTTATATAGCGCTAACAGGTGTTCTCAGCACTTTACAGGTTACATTACAGTAGAGGGAGGTACAGTAAGTGCAGTAGGTATACAGTGTATGTATATTTTATTTATATAGCACCAACAGGTGTACTCAGCACTTTACAGGTTACATTACAGTAGAGGGAGGTACAGTAAGTGCAGTAGGTATACAGTGTATGTTTATTATATTTATATAGCGCTAACAGGTGTACTCAGCACTTTACAGGTTACATTACAGTAGAGGGAGGTACAGTAAGTGCAGTAGGTATACAGTGTATGTATATTATATTTATATAGCGCTAACAGGTGTACTCAGCACTTTACAGGTTACATTACAGTAGAGGGAGGTACAGTAGGTGCAGTAGGTATACAGTGTATGCATATTATATTTATATAGCGCTAACAGGTGTACTCAGCACTTTACAGGTTACATTACAGTAGAGGGAGGTATAGTAAGTGCAGTAGGTATACAGTGTATGTATATTTTATTTATATAGCAGTAACAGGTGTACTCAGCACTTTACAGGTTACATTACAGTAGAGGGAGGTATAGTAAGTGCAGTAGGTATACAGTGTATGTATATTTTATTTATTGGCTAACAGGTGTACTCAGCACTTTACAGGTTACATTACAGTAGAGGAGAATTTACGAGTAAGTGCAGTAGGTATACAGTGTATGTATATTTTATTTATATACTTTCCAACAGGTACTCAGCACTTACAGATTTACATTACAGAGTAAGAGGGAGGTAGTGCAGTAGGTATACAGTGTATGTATATTATATTTATATAAGCTAACAGGTGTACTCAATACTTTACAGGTTACATTACAGTAGAGGGTGGTACAGTAAGTACAGTAGGTATACAGTGTATGTATATTTTATTCATATAGCGCTAACGGGTGTACTCAGCACTTTACAGGTTACAGCACAGTAGAGGGAGGTACAGTAAGTGCAGTAGGTATACAGTGTATGTATATTGTATTTATATAGAGCTAACAGGTGTACTCAGCACTTTACAGATTACATTACAGTAGAGGGAGGTACAGTAAGTGCAGTAGGTATACAGTGTATGTATATTATATTTATATAGCACTAACAGGTGTACTCAGCACTTTACAGGTTACATTACTGTAGAGGGAGGTACAATAAGTGCAGTAGGTATACAGTGTATGTATATTTTATTTATATAGCGCTAACAGGTGTACTCAGCACTTTACAGGTTACATTACAGTAGAGGGAGGTACAGTAAGTGCAGTAGGTATACAGTGTATGTATATTATATTTATAGAGCGCTAACAGGTGTACTCAGCACTTTACAGGTTACATTACAGTAGAGGGAGGTACAGTAAGTGCAGTTGGTATACAGTGTATGTTTATTGTATTTATTGAGCGCTAACAGGTGTACTCAGCACTTTATAGGTTACATTACAGTAGAGGGAGGTACAGTAAGTGCAGTGGTATACAGTGTATGTATATTATATTTATATAGCGCTAACAGGTGTACTCAGCACTTTACAGGTTACATTACAGTAGAGGGAGGTGCAGTAAGTGCAGTAGGTATACAGTGTATGTATATTTTATTTATATAGCGCTAACAGGTGTACTCAGCACTTTACAGGTTACATTACAGTAGAGGGAGGTACAGTAAGTGCAGTAGGTATACAGTGTATGTATATTTTATTTATATAGCGCTAACAGGTGTACTCAGCACTTTACAGGTTACATTACAGTAGAGGGAGGTACAGTAAGTGCAGTAGGTATACAGTGTATGTATATTTTATTTATATAGCGCTAACAGGTGTACTCAGCACTTTACAGGTTACATTACAGTAGAGGGAGGTACAGTAAGTGCAGTAGGTATACAGTGTATGTATATTTTATTTATATAGCGCTAACAGGTGTACTCAGCACTTTACAGGTTACATTACAGTAGAGGGAGGTACAGTAAGTGCAGTAGGTATACAGTGTATGTATATTTATTTATATAGCACTAACAGGTGTACTCAGCACTTTACAGGTTACATTACAGTAGAGGGAGGTACAGTAAGTGCAGTAGGTATACAGTGTATGTATATTTTATTTATATAGCGCCAACAGGTGTACTCAGCACTTTACAGGTTACATTACAGTAGAGGGAGGTACAGTAAGTGCAGTAGGTATACAGTGTATGTATATATTATATTTATATAGCGCTAACAGGTGTACTCAGCACTTTACAGGTTACATTACAGTAGAGGGAGGTACAGTAGGTGCAGTAGGTATACAGTGTATGCATATTATATTTATATAGCGCTAACAGGTGTACTCAGCACTTTACAGGTTACATTACAGTAGAGGGAAGTACATACAGTAAGTGCAGTAGGTATACAGTGTATGTATATTTTATTTATTGAGCGCTAACAGGTGTACTCAGCACTTTACAGGTTACATTACAGTAGAGGGAGGTACATACAGTAAGTGCAGTAGGTATACAGTGTATGTATATTTTATTTATTGAGCGCTAACAGGTGTACTCAGCACTTTACAGGTTACATTACAGTAGAGGGAGGTACAGTAAGTGCAGTAGGTATACAGTGTATGTATATTTTATTTATATAGCGCTAACAGGTGTACTCAGCACTTTACAGGTTACATTACAGTAGAGTGAGGTACAGTAAGTGCAGTAGGTATACAGTGTATGTATATTTTATTTATATAGCACCAACAGGTGTACTCAGCACTTTACAGGTTACATTACAGTAGAGGGAGGTAGTGCAGTAGGTATACAGTGTATGTATATTATATTTATATAGCGCTAACAGGTGTACTCAGCACTTTACAGGTTACATTACAGTAGAGGGAGGTACATACAGTAAGTGCAGTAGGTATACAGTGTATGTATATTTTATTCATATAGCGCTAACAGGTGTACTCAGCACTTTACAGGTTACATTACAGTAGAGGGAGGTACAGTAAGTGCAGTAGGTATACAGTGTATGTATATTGTATTTATATGGAGCTAACAGGTGTACTCAGCACTTTACAGGTTACATTAGAGTAGAGGGAGGTACAGTAAGTGCAGTAGGTATACAGTGTATGTATATTTTATTTATATAGCGCTAACAGGTGTACTCAGCACTTTACAGGTTACATTACAGTAGAGGGAGGTACAGTAAGTGCAGTAGGTATACAGTGTATGTATATTATATTTATATACGCTAACAGGTGTACTCAGCACTTTACAGGTTACATTACAGTAGAGGGAGGTACAGTAAGTGCAGTAGGTATACAGTGTATGTATATTTTATTTATATAGCGCTAACAGGTGTACTCAGCACTTTACAGGTTACATTACAGTAGAGGGAGGTACAGTAAGTGCAGTAGGTATACAGTGTATGTATATTATATTTATATAGCGCTAACAGGTGTACTCAGCACTTTACAGGTTACATTACAGTAGAGGGAGGTACAGTAAGTGCAGTAGGTATACAGTGTATGTATATTTATTTATATAGCGCTAACAGGTGTACTCAGCACTTTACAGGTTACATTACAGTAGAGGGAGGTACAGTAAGTGCAGTAGGTATACAGTGTATGTATATTTTATTTATATAGCGCTAACAGGTGTACTCAGCACTTTACAGGTTACATTACAGTAGAGGGAGGTACAGTAAGTGCAGTAGGTATACAGTGTATGTATATTTTATTTATATAGCGCTAACAGGTGTACTCAGCACTTTACAGGTTACATTACAGTAGAGGGAGGTACAGTAAGTGCAGAAGGAATACAGTGTCTATTTTATTTATATAGCACTAACAGGTGTACTCAGCACTTTACAGGTTACATTACAGTAGAGGGAGGTACAGTAAGTGCAGTACGTATACAGTGTGTATATTTTATTTATATAGCGCTAACAGGTGTACTCAGGACTTTACAGGTTACATTACAGTAGCGGGGGGTACAGTAAGTGCAGTAGGTATACAGTGTATGTATATTTTATTTATTGAGCGCTAACAGGTGTACTCAGCACTTTACAGGTTACATTACAGTAGAGGGAGGTACAGTAAGTGCAGTAGGTATACAGTGTATGTATATTTTATTTATATAGAGCTAACAGGTGTACTCAGCACTTTACCGGTTACATTACAGTAGAGGGAGGTACAGTAAGTGCAGTAGGTATACAGTGTATGTATATTTTATTTATAGAGCGTTAACAGGTGTACTCAGCACTTTACAGGTTACATTACATTAGAGGGAGGTACAGTAAGTGCAGTAGGTATACAGTCTATGTATATTTTATTTATATAGCGCTAACAGGTGTACTCAGCACTTTACAGATTACATTACAGTAGAGGGAGGTACAGTAAGTGCAGTAGGTATACAGTGTATGTATATTTTATTTATATAGCGCTAACAGGTGTACTCAGCACTTTACAGGTTACATTGCAGTAGAGGAAGGTACGGTAAATGCAGTAGGTATACAGTGTATGTATATTTTATTTATATAGCGCTAACAGGTGTACTCAGCACTTTACAGGTTACATTACAGTAGAGGGAGGTACAGTAAGTGCAGTAGGTATACAGTGTATGTATATTTTATTTATATAGCGCTAACAGGTGTACTCAGCACTTTACAGGTTACATTATAGTAGAGGGAGGTACAGTAAGTGCAATAGGCATACCGTGGGCATATATTTGAATTGTATAGCTGCTGCTATCAGTTTTGGGAAGCTTATCTGATAAGTGGAATTGCCAAATAATGAGCTCTTTGACCCATAGATATTTGCTGCATTTTGGTTATCTAACTAAAAAAGTAATAGAAGCATCAACACAATGTTTTGGCGTTTCGTTCCAAGATATTAAATAAAGGTAGAGTCTTAATCAGAGGCGTATCTAGAAATCACTAGGCCCCTGTGCAAAAGTTGCCCTGCCTCCCGCCCCCACGTGTCTCATTCCCCACCATCCAGCCCCTCCATGTGTCTCATTCTCCCCCCTTAGTTCCTCCATGTGTCACATCCCCCCACCCAGTCCCTCCATGTGTCTCATTCCCCACCATGCAGCCCCTCCATGTGTCTCATTCTCCCCCCTTAGTTCATCTATGTGTCCCATCTCCCCACCCAGTCCCTCCAGGTGTCTCATTCTCTCCCACAGGCTCTCCATCAGTGGCGTACATACCAGGGTCGCAGGGGTCGCGGCTGTGACCGGGCACGGCCCACCAGGGGGCCCAGCCTCTTCTCCTGGGGGGCCCAGAAGCCGGCCACCCCAGGCCCCCCCGAGGCTGGCCCTGCTGACCCCGGTGGGCGGGCTGTCTGGGCAGCCGGCGCGCGAGGGAGCACTTTACACTGTGTGCTTCCTCTTCAGCTCCCTCGCGCACCGCACTGATGCCGGAGCCGGAAGATGATGTCATCTTCCGGCGCCGGCATCCCTACGCGGCGCTCGAGGGAGCTGAAGAGGAAGCACACAGTGTAAAGTGCTCCCTCGCGCGCCGGCCGCCCAGACAGCCCGCCCACCCAGTGACCAGGAGCCCAGCAGCACCACTGGACCCCAGGGAATCCCCCCAGCACTCCAAAAGGTAAGGAGGCTGGGGGGATTACATTTTAAAAAAAGTGTATGTTTGTGTGTTAGTGTATGTGTGTGTGTTAGTATATGTTAGTGTATGTGTTATTGTGTGTGTGTTAGTGAGTGTGTCTGTTATTGGGTGTGTGTCTGCTAGTGAGTGTGTTACTGAGTGTGTTTGATGTCTGTTAGTGAGTGTGTGTTTGTCAGTGAAAGTGTATGTTTTGTAAGTGAGTGTGTATGTATGTCTGTCGCTGAGTGTGTCTGTCAGTAAATGTGTGTGTCTGTTAGCTAGTGTGTATGCTTCTGTTCGTGAGAGTGTGTGTGTGTGTCTTCAGCATTTACCTTTCTCCAGCGTCGGACTCCCCAGTGTCCGCCTCTCAGCTCCGAATGCACGTGCGCGGCAAGAGGCGCGCGCGCATTTAAACCGCCCATAGGAAAGCATTACTCAATGCTTTCCTATGGACGTTCAGTGTCTTCTCACTGTGATTTTCACATTGAGAATCGCGGAAGCTCCTCTAGCAGCTGTCAATGAGACAGCCACCAGAGGCTGGATCAACCCTCAGTGAAACATAGCCGTTTCTCTGAAACGGCTAGGTTTTCAGCTGCAGGGTTAAAACTAGAGGGACCTGGAACCCAGACCACTTCATTGAGCTGATGTGATCTGGGTGTCTGTAGTGGTCCTTTAAGTGTGTGTGCATACCGCGGTCGCGGGGTCGCAGCCCTGCGACCAGGTGCCATGTGTCGCGGCCCCGACCCGCGCCGAGTAAGCGTGGGGGGGGGGGGCCTGGATCAATTTTCGCACAGGGGCCCCATGGGTCATGTGTACGCCACTGCTCTCCATGGAACTCTCCTACCCCCTCCATGTGTTTCTTAGCCACCCCATCCAGCTCCATCATGTCTCATCCATCCCCCCAAGTCCCTCCACGTCTCATTCTCTACCCTAGTCCCTCCATATGTCTTCCACCCCCTCCTTCCTAGTCCCTCAATGTGTCAATAGATGGCAATTCTTTCAGTTTCATTATAATACAGAGTATGTAGAACATCATGTAGCTCATTCTGAGGGTTAATGGTATATGTGGTGGGAGAACAAGCATCAGCCGTACTGACGTCAGGCAACTTTCCTCCTGGCTCAAGTTAGCATGGTGTACGAGCATGTTTAGGCTAAAATACTTTTATACAACGGATCGGATTTAATTCTCATTCAAGAACTACCCGTTTACAAAAACAAAACACCCTAAATTGTATTAATTTGTCAAATCCTTAGATTTTCCTTCCAATTACCTCACCATTGTAATATTTTACCGGTATAAAAGTTAATACAGGATTAAAGAAGGGTGTCTAAAATGTTTTAAATCAAGAAATGCACAATCTAATCTACTTTTGTACAAAGAAGTTTATTGCATTTATAACAGCTTCCAGTTTCACAATGTTTTTCTGTACAACAGCAAAACAGCCAGTGCAAAATATGCTTTCATTTCCTCTCCATTGCAAGTACAATAAAGTGGCAGTAATTAACTGGTTCATTTGATGCCCTATTCACCATAAATTCACCCGCAGTCTCTGCAGAGAAAGATTGCTACCTCCAGACACATCGCTGGGATTTTGCAGGACAGACAGATCAGGATACAGTCGCCACAAATATTAACGTCACACACAAATAATCCCAATTAATCAAACTAGTTTCTCATTATCGATTAGTGGAAGGTTTCATTACAAGAGAGTTCAAAGAAAAATGTAATAACACCTGAAATCCCAAAGCCAAGTGTTACGGTCATAGTTAGAAGGGGGCTGTTACCCCACAAGTGAAAATAATGCAGAAGTGTTTAAGGCAGCTAGCAGTCAGATTATTTGGGGAATGGGGTGAGGGAGAATTAAAGACACCCAGATTCTCAGACCTGCTGAGATTACAGTACATCACACATTCTAGCACCTCACCCAACACCCCAGATACATCTAAAAAACAATTAAAACATTGATTCGAGAAGAGCAGATGCCAATTCATAGTATTTATAGCTCAGTAATCACAAAGGAAACACAGTCCTACCCTCTCCCCACATTTTGGAACCTATATAGAACAAAGGCAATATTGAAAGGAAATAACACAGCATTAAACAGGACTTTCAAGTAAAACTACAGGGAAACACAATTAAAATTGCTTTTATGTGAAAAAAAAAAAATTTGTGGCATTTACATACACATGGATATACATTTCCACTCCTGGTAAAAAAAAAAAAAAAAAGCTTTTTTCTTTTTAAAGCAAAATAATCTGAGAATTCTTTTTGGATCATTGTTTGCCCATCAATTTCAGCAGATTATTTTTTCTGTGTAAGAAGTGTTCTGAAGAGAGAAACTAAGTCAGACAGTCTCCCCCTCCTGGGCCCAACAGAACAACCTGCTGCCTTAGTCTGGTCTCTTTTACACATACATTGGAAGAGACACCAACATTCTGTAGTTTATGTGAAGCCTGTTTGGGCGCAGAAATTCAGATAATTAAATCTTTTAAAACTACACAAATATCCTGCTTTAAAAGGAACAGTTTAGGTGGATTCAACTACATGGCGATATAGTGGTTATGGTGTCGATAGTCTGATAGTTCTGATTTAAGTTCCACTTGCATATTCAATATACCCATTTCATCTATATCCTTATAATAATCATTGGCCAAGCACATCACCCGACTGTCTCAGACAAGGATGGAATTTATATTATTAATGTGGAAGTAGAACTGTAGAGGGTATGATCAAACGGCTCCAAAAAAACATTTGACCATAACTACTACACGGGTATATAGTGGTTATGGTACCTAAAGATGCCGCTTTAATAAAAATTAAAAAAAGAAAAAAAAAAAAAACAAGATTTGAATGTTTGAAAGTATTTCTAATACACTTTGTTCAAGGTGTTTCCAAACATAAAAATACATAAATATTGCACAGTGCTTTCAAACATGCAGCTTTCTGTGTTAGCTTAAGAGCTGAAGGGGGGGGGGAGGTGGGGGAGAATCTGAATCAAGCTGTGAGTTTTGTGCAAATAAGAAATATTTTGTCTTTGGCATTAAAAAAAAGGCTAGAATAAAAATGTCAAGTGAACCACAACAGTGAGCATCTAAGCCACATTTCATGGGCCAAGATAAGAATAAATATATTAATAAATCTATAATTGTCAGGTAAGGTTATTCAGTAATCATCGGATTTTAGCAAATTTTAATAAATCCACATGGCAAAGCTATGAATTTTTGAAAGCCAGATATTAAATTGTCAGCTCATGAATTAATGGTAACCCTGGAGGAATTATGGCATAGCGCACAAACATTTACAAAATTTAGGGAGGGGGGAAACCATGTTTGGAGAAAAAAAATGCTCAACAAACCCGTAAATTTGGGACATAAAGGATGATCCACACCAGTCACCAATAACCTTTTGGGATGCTCTATGTTTAGGGAAAATATTTGCATTATTAAATTTGACAAGATTAATTGTTGTGAAAATAAATTTATCTGCGACCTTTAGAGATTGTGAGGGAATAAAAGAAATTGTTAATCAAATTTCACACACTGGGATTATAAATTATATTGAAATATTATACCAGGAATATATTGAGATTTCTCTCAGTTTCAAGTACAGCCCGGAAATTAACAAGAGAATCCATTTTTAATTTTGTTTAATTCCACCCTCATACAAGAGTAGAGTGTAAAAAATAAACTTCAAATACTACACAATGACTGGTCTTGGATTACACCATCCCTAGTGCATTCTATGTTTCTATGTTTCTATGTTTCTATGTTTCTAAAAAAAATTAAATGGGACATAATGCCTAGGACAATAACATGTATTTTTTTTATAACAAAAATGCTAGGGCCTGTCTCAGGGAGACAATGATATCAGATTAGCAAATTTGCTGCCTGCTATTCGGGATGTCCATTGGTTGAGTATGTTAGTTTTCCGAATGATTGCCTTCTAAAATGCCACAAAATGTGGGCAAGCAAATCCCTACCTCATTGGGATATTCATTCTATACACAAAACATAAAGGTTCATTTTATTTTAGCTAATCAGAATTCTCTATTTTCTTTCAGAATGTATCAAAAAGAAGATGAAACAATTCTGACCCTTCCAGGGAATTGTGAATAAAGTCCCAACAGTTGCAGCTCCTTTTATTTACAAATTACAGAGTTTCCATTTAGAACACGCTGTGTCTGATACACTCAAACGCAACCTCCCTTCTTTAGATAGGCACACAAAACCAGATTTCTGTTCTCTGCTTCTAGATGGAAAGGGGGACATTGAAACTGGATGTTTGTTTGTTCTGTGGCCAGTAATACCGGCTTGCCGTGTGCACTGTTCAGAAAAAAGGTGTTTTTGACGCCGTATGGAGTTAAGATTTTCACTTTAAAATGATATGATATCCTCCGTTTCCTTCAGCTGCAAATGGACACAAAATAGCAAACATTACTTCATGGTAGAGAGGCAGATGAGTCAGAAAACCATATGACAAAAGGAGAAAATGAAGCTCAGATAAGAGAAGTGGATACAAATCTAGAAAACGATAAACATGAAAGAATATTAGAGACGTTGCAGGTATATCTATATCAGATCTGTCATGCTTGAAATGTGTGTTACAAGACTTTCACTTAATTGGATGGGCCGCCCATTTCTAGAATACATTCCCACAATGCTTAGAGCTGCATTGCACCAGAATCATTGGACCTGTGTGTTCCCTCTGTAGTTGCCATATTTGTCACTTATACATGTAGGAAAGTTTTGTTAGTGTGTTAAAAACCAAAAATTCATATGAGAATATAGAAAAATGAGACAGTACCCAGCCACTGTGTATCATTTACATCTTTGCCTGTTACTTTATGACCTCAAACAAAACAAAAAAACCCACAATTGTCTGCGTGATGACCTGGTAGATATATTCCAGGAGCCTAGAATGTTCATTTAAATATTCCATGGCGGAAGGAGAATACAAGAACCAAGAAATTACTAAAAGAACAAAAATAAATGGCAGCATGTTCTGCAATATTTACCTTTGAGTGTGTTAATCAGAAAACAGGATTCATCCGGAAAATTCTGGACCATCTGCAGAGAGAATAAATATGTTTAAATTCATTTGCTTTACAAAACAAAATGTAATATTTAATAAAGCCCAGTTTACCAGCATTTTAGGAGGAGTGGTAATAAATATGTTTAAATTCATTTGCTTTACAAAACAAAATGTAATATTTAATAAAGCCCAGTTTACCAGCATTTTAGGAGGAGTGGTAATGAACACGTTCCTGCCAATAACCTATTCTACCTAGTAAATGTCTGTAAATGAGCTGCCAATGACAGCCCCCCCCCCCCACGCAAACAGGAAAGGAAC